GGATAGACAATAAATTTCAATACTTTGTCCCAGATTTATTAGTACTTGTGTCGGATTTACTGGCGAACAATTTATTTTCACTGAGAAATATTTTACAATATCTTTTTTTTATTCATAGAGAAATAATCATTCATTAGACAATCTAAAAATGGTTTTAGAAATTTGTCAGGGAACACCTTACCACAAGTTAATAAGCGTTCACATAAAAAATGTCGTCTGTTGTTGTTTTACTTGACATTGTTAGAAAACGAGGTTGAATGTAAAGTTAAGCCCTTGAATCCGTACAAAAGTCTATCAAATGCCAATGTCCTGATATATATTTAGATTTTAACGGGATAGACAAAAATTATTTAAACACATTAATGGATATTTTAGCAACTAACATTTTTAATCAAAACCCCGTGGTGGTCGTGCCGTTTGCCGCTTTCTTAATTTATAAAAAAGGCTAAATGTTGAATATTCATTAAAAGATGTTCGGTAGATGACGATACATGTATTTACGAGAAGTATGGAACCAAGTATGGACCTGTAATTCACGGATATATGGAACTAAACCGATTTCCCCTAATTGATGCCTCAACGTGTCTAGGGGCGGAAGCGTTATCGATAATCGACAGGTTACGCCGAATAAAATCAAATAGTATAGGTACCGTTTTTGAATCGTTTTAAAAAACAATTTTTTGGACTAACTGCTTCCAATTAAATCACGAATGTGTTCAGAAAAGGTTGTAAAAACTACTTTAGCAAAAAATTATTTTAGGTTTTTTTGTTAAATTTACTCCGTTTCAAATTAAAAACTTAAAAACAAATTTGGTACAGGGATTTCAGGCCCCCTTTATATTGATGTTTTTGTTTTTTTTTTTTGCGGGGGCGAAAAAAAAACTTGGAAAAAAGCCTTTTTGATAAATTTAAATGAATGTAGTAAAGATTAAATTTTTTATTTTTTTCTATACCCAAAAAAAAACATTATGCCTTGCGATAAAAAATTATGTTTGAAAATTTGTTAGTTACGGGGGTTTTAAAACTGGGGTAGGGGGGAATTTTTGGGGTGTTCTGCCCCAAAAAAAGTTCGGCCTTTTTGGCCCCCCATTTTTTAACCCTTAAAACCCCCTTTAGTCGCCCGCTGTTATTCCCCCTTTTAATAACTTGTTTTATATACTTTTATATTACGTAATACAACAATGACCAAAGGGCCTAGGGGTTTTGTATTAATTTTTAAAAAGAATTTGTATTATTCACAAAGCAAAAAAGTTGGTTATACTTTAAGTCAAATGTCTAAAAGTTGCATTTATTTTTTGTATTTTTGTTTTGTGGCTATTTTTTGTTTTTTTCTAATAGAGTATTTCAAAAATTTAAAAAAAGAATCTTTAAAAGGGTAGAAAAAAAATTATAGAGTGAAAATTTATCTTCATTAAAAAAGGGGGTTGACCCTTTAATTCAAAACATTTAAAATTTAATTTATTTTTTTCTTTTAAAATAATTTTTCTTTTTATTAATGAAGGGGTTGACTGGGTTTGATAAACTTCTTTTTGGGTTTAAAACCTTTGTTGGGATATTGCCTTAAACCCAAAATTTACTTGAAGGTTGATTTTTTTTAAATTTTGAAATGGGTTTTTTCTATAATTTTATTTAAATTTTTTCAAAAAAAAATTGATTTTTTTATAATAGGAAAAAAATCCCTTTATTTATAAAAAAATTCTAAAAAGTTTTAACTTGGGGATTGAGCTTTAAAAGACCTTTTACTGGGAAAAGCAAAAGTTGAGAACTGGTAAAATTTTTCATAAATTTTTTATTTTTGTACCCATTTTAATTAAAATTGGGCGAAAACAAAGGCTTTTTATCAAAAAAAAAAATTTGAATGATTAAAATGTAACCTTACCTTTTTTATTTACCGTCAATGTCAAAAAATAAAAAGTTCTTGTTTTTCTTTAAATGGTATAACTTTATTTTAAAAAATTTTAATTAAAGATTTTTGGGCAAATTTTCATTAAAAAAAATTTTTTTATTATACCCCCCCAAAAATTTAGGGGAATACATGTATAAAGGGCACTGTTCGGCGGGTCGGTTGGTCCTTTAGGTCGTCTCCTTTGGTTTCCAACCTTACTTTTTGTTTGGAATAAAATTATTGTTAATTCAAAAACTTGGTATATAGCAACCTCAGGTAACCACCTCGGTTTTGGATTGCTGTTAAACTCCCTGGGGTCAAGGTTAAAGGCACTATTACTTATAATGGAAAGTGGTTTTCGGACAATAATGAGATTATTGCAATTAAACTTGGCATATAGCAAAATCCCAGGTTGGTATTGCAATTTGGACCCCCCTCAGGTCAAGGTCAAGTCACATTAATAAAATAGAAACATAATTTCCAGACAATAACTGAGTAAGGAATGAGATATTGTAATTTAACTTGCTTATATTTAGCAAGCTTATTATGAAGACCCAGCTTGTTTTCACGTTTGGATCAAGGTCAAGGTCACCATTATACCAAAAATAAAAATGGTTTTAGGACAATAACTCGAGTTAGGAATAGATATTGTAATCAAAATATATAGATTGGTATATATCAAGCTTTATATCAGACCCAAGTTAAGATTGCTTTTTGACCCCTTGGAATCAAGGAGGAATAGGTCACCGTTACTTAAAAAAAAAAGAACAATGGTTTCTGGACATTAGCCAGAGTTAGGAATAAGATATGGCAATCAAAATTAGTATATAACTAGCTTATAATTGTGAAGACCAAAGTTAGTTTTACGTTAGAACCCCTTCGGGTCAAGATCAGGATCACTGTTACTAAAAATAGAAAAACAGTTCTGGACAATAACCAGTGTTAGGAATGAGATATTGTAATCAAACTTGGTACATAGCAAGCTAATATGTCATCACGGGTTTGGACTCCCTCGGGTCAAGGTCACTGTTACTAAAAAAGAAAAATGGTTTCTGGACAATAACTAGAGTTATGACTGAGATATTGTAACCAAACTTGGTATATAGGAAGCTTATATAAAGACCAAGGTTGGTATTGCGTTAATACACCCTCAAGTTAAGGTCAAATACACCAATACTAAAGATAATAAAACGATTTTTGGACAATGATAAGAGTTATGTAATCAAACTTGATATATAACCTTATATGAAGACCCAGCTTTGGATTACTTTTGCACCCGTTGGGATCAAGGTTAATGGCCCCGTTACTAAAAATAGAAAAATAGTTTCTGAACAATAACTTTAGGAATGAGATATTGCAATTAAACTTGGTATAACTCACAGTTTTAGATGTAAAGTAGAACATTGAACACTATGGTTATGATTATAATAATAAATACTTGGACAAAACAACAAGTGAAACCTATCTATTGAAATAAGAAAACGAAAAATTGATTTCTTCTTTAATTTTCATTTTAAAGATTTGTTTAAACTCATAATTTGTTTAGTTTTAGAAAAAGTCAAAAAGTCAAGCGTTGCCCCCGCCCGATGGTGGCTCTTGTTATGTTTTTTCTGGTTCTGGTTATATGATGATAGCTTTTTAATTAGAAGCATGCGTATAAAATGACGACCATAGAGGTATTTCCTAATTTCATCATAGTCTGTCATCATTTCTTCAGAATGAAATGTTATTACTATACTTTGGGTCCCAGCAGTTATATAGCGCCGAGAAGACCTTTTACAGTCATGATCCTTATTTACTATTATACCCTTTTCACCTTTCTTATACACGGGGGAGGAACTGTTTGCGAATGATGGAGTTCTTATGATAACTTGTCAGGAGTTTTTGTGATAACTTTCACGGAGTTCGTCGGAAAACTTTTGTATATACTACAAAAACACTCGTCCTAAATGGTAATTGTTCATCTTTAAAAAGTGAGTTGTAGGTGCTTAATTAAACTGTAATGATTTAGCTTGCAATACATCTTGTATTATGTATCAAAAACTAATTCGTAGGCCATTTTTCGTTGTTTCTGGTTTAAAACCTTTCTTATATGTTATTTGCAATATCATTTTAGTTGAAGATAAAATATAGTGTAAAATGTTCTGCTAAAGTTTTATCAATAAACGGGAATCACGAAATCCCTTATATTTATTCGTTATAACATACTCGTATGATCCCGTTTTGTCGGTAGTCAGAGAAACGTTACAATATAGTATGTTTTACTCAAACTAAAAATATAAAATTGTCAAAAAGAGACTTTGTTTTATTCCTTATCACCTTTTTACATTTAGAAAGGGAAAAACTTATCTCAAACATGGTCCTCGCCACATTGTTTTTCCACGACTAGAAGTACTATGGGAAAGGTCTTTCTTTCTCTCTTTTAAGTATTATCATATTATGTCAGGGTAAAGAATATTCATTTATTTATAATTTCCTGTATTATTTAACGGTACGCTTTATATATGTTCTGATTTTACAGAACATTCTCACATATAAGACATTTGCTATTATTTGAGGTGTCCTTTACGTCTATGATTAAAAAATAGACGTTTTGGGTCAGATCCTGTCCCCCAACGTAATACGCACTTGTTCACACTCTATCAAACATATTTTAACATTTAAACACGAATGGGACATCTGTTACAAAGTTAAAACGGGTTTTCAAACAATTTTTACTCATATGGAAAAAATACCTGTTACATCAAATCTCAATAAAGTACTTTATTGAACCAAGTTATCAACATGTATGTTTTCATAAGCGTCTGTAGATTCAAAGGCGGGACTTAAACCAATCGTCTAAATCATTTAGTTTGAACTTTGAACGGTATAGCTTAACCATCATTGTGCAGAGACTTACCACTGCGACATTGTGAAAAGTAAAATCAATAGAAAGCCTTTTCGACCATTGTGCATTATATAACACATAAACTTGACAGCTATTTGTACTATAATAGCGGTCGGTTCTATGAGAACAAGTGCTATACTAGGAGACCAAATAATCACATATGTAGAAAGATAACTTCTTACTTAGGGCTTAGGAGATTTTATATTTGTACACACCAATCAAGACAAATAGTTTTCAATCAATGTATTGAATATCTATACAGTCCTACAAAGATTTTATTAGCATATAACAAAATCTAATGTTCCTAATTATCAAGAAATATTCAATTTAAAGTGACATTATGTCCATCCAAAGATTATATAGTGATCAACTTTTTACATAATTCCTTTTACTTCACTCGAACGATAAATAACTCACATGGCCATAAATATCCATCGGAGTAACGTTCAATTAATAAAAGAGCGGGACAGTTCTTTTATATTCTAGGCAGATTTAATATGATTTATCCTAAAACTTTGTTAATACCAACTGATTATCATCATCTTTTGAAATACTTATAAAATATATGAATTATATATTGTTAAGTCAGCTTTACTTCACAATGAAAGTACGAGCATAATGTCACTTTAATTGTTTAATTAAACCGTACCTGTGAGACTAAAAGATGACCAAGTCAAGTTTTAGCCTTGGAATGCTGACCATCTAATTAACAATGTCACAATATGCTTATCTATATCATTTAGTGCACCAAAACAACTATTCGATTGGTTAACTTTATGGTTAAACACTGCATATAACATACCATTAGTATAAAATAAATCATATATATAGTATAGTAGCACAATATAACTGCAAAACAACAACAAAGATTATGAAAAAATAATTTGCATGTATATACACAGAGTTGGACAAATGAAAAGGATAATTAGGAAGCAAAATATACATTATATATAATGCGACAGTCTAGTTATAGTAATAACTCTAAAAATCTAATTTAATTTATGTCTTTATATATCATGTTGTGTTTAATCTCTGTCCATTACTGATCAAGTTTTAGCTTTTCCATTTCTGTTTGTTCATCATCTTTTTTGTCCAACAGATGATCTAGAAAATCTTGTGCAAAGTTTAACATCTGCCGCAGTGCCAGCAATTGGAGGATACTGTTGTTGTCATGAAGCTCTAGCTCATTCTCGTAATTTTTCACCGGAAGTACATTTGCACGAGGAAGTCCGAGAATTTGTGAGGCTTTATCCACGTGTTGCTGCACTTCCGGGCTATTGAATACCAATGACACATCTTGCTCAACTTCTTTACAGAGTTTGTCTATCTTTGTAAGTAAAATGATTTGCGGGATTCCTGAAATTGTGTTAAAATATTATGGATGTTTGTTTGACATGTCATCAAGAGATAAAATTACTCTTCAGGTTTGAACATTTATATAAATGTTACATGTTATATAAAGTACTGAAAAGCGCTTTTTTCAAAAAAATGTCCGAGAAAAAGCAACAACTACTTTTGAATTCAATATGTTATTAATAACCTTACATTAAAGATTTGATTGTTATGCTGATGGAACCCAATTACTACTGCTGTAATGAACAACCCTCTATATAACTGTTAATCGTATGACTTAAATTTTACTGTTAGTTCACCAATGGCCAATGTATTAAATACTTATCGATAATAATAATATCTCGGTATTTGACTATTCCAACTGCCTAAAATGGAACATATCATTTAAAAGACAAATGATTAATGCTACGTCAAGACAATAAGTATATTTATCTATACTGAATATTTACATGTACATAAAATCGCTGTTTTTGAATGGTATCACGTGACTGTCCAATATATTTTCAATTTTTCCCACATGACACTCGCTTAAAATCAATAACAAACAGCGACACATATCGAAATGTATTGACTGTCTGACATTTTTATTAGAAAATAATATTGAGTAACACTTTGCGTTTTCTCAATTTCATTTGTTTACATAAAAACAACTATTTAAAAAAGTATACAATGAAGAATATATGGACTCGTGCGAAACCTCAGAAACCATTTTGAGGTAGCCTGGCGGCTTGACCGATAGGGTTTCTGCATATGTGTGTATTATACAGTAAAATGTCGATCAGTCTTTAATAAAAACGACATCTGTTTCATTATGTCAAATACATAGACGATATTAAAGTTCTTGAAAATTGCACAAAAAAGACAACTCTCATTTTCATAAATATCAATGGCTCTTACCTTTCTGATTCATCAGATTTTGGAATCCTTTCATTTTCTCTATTATCTTTGAAGACAATACTTCTAACGTGGTTGCGTCCAAAACGAATACTGCACAATGTATTACGTCGTTATCAGTAGGATTTGCCTTGAAACCAGGGGTTTTAGGTGTTATTTGGGTGTTTGTGTTGAACTTGAAACAGAATTAATAACAAATTGTTATCCAAATACAAAAAGCACACATGCCGAAGTTAAGTTTTTTTTGTATTTCCCGTTCTTATTACTGAAATATTTTTTTAAGAATACGTTTTATGCAAATACATACAGACGCATAAAGTATTTTTTCCCTTTCCTCTTATTTTGGTTTAGATTACTTCCAATTTTTATCCAAAGACATTTATATAAATACTCGTACGGCACGCATTAATTATGTATGTATTACTTTTATATTTCCCCGTTCTTATTGTTGTTTTTTTTAAAGAATATAGTTACCCAAAAACATACAGCATACATACAAACATATATTTATATATTTCATTGTTTTTTTTTTATTTATGATATAAACTATTTTTAGATGATAACGAAACAATGACCAATCAGTGATCAAAGTATATATCAAGAGATTACATGCGAGAATTTGATAAATAGGACTATTTAGCATCGTTTTGTTTCAAAATTCGTTACATGGTTGAATAGCTTTTTGCATTACAACATATACATGCACCACTGTCCGTCCACAAATCTATATAGGGAGAGGAATCAAGAGGAATTACTTCCTGACAATTGATCTCGGACAATGAGTCGAATGCTCATTAAATTTTTGTCTCTCGCCGCTGATTCAGAAACCATATGCGATAAGTTATCGGTCATTTGTCGATAAATTGATTACAATGGTCAGTTATTCAGGAAAGCTTGTTAGGTCAGCGTGAGCACAGAAAAAGAAGCACGTACTTTCGTCTAAATAATTCGAGGAATACTTTTTCACTGGTCTCAGTAGAACTTTCGATTATACAGTTAAAGTTTCTTACCTGATAGTAGTTTGGAATGTTACCATCAAGCAGATAGTTACACTCGAGAACATCTAGACCCTGCGACTCTTCTAAACCACGTGTGTCACATAATCGGAAATTAAGTGGCGCCCCTGACCTGACTTTTACCTTGTATGGGGTGTACTGAAGAAAACGTTGTTCATGATATACAGAACTTTCGAAGTCATTTGTAACAGCAACTATATGGGAAGAGTGACAATTTATCTTTACTTTCACGGTAATCTGACGACTACGACAAATAATAAGACTTATTTAACACTATGTAATATGTAATCTTTTTGGTTTAGTTTTGGTTTATGGTCATTACTTCCAAACTAACAAAGTATCCATTAAAACATAATATCATGATGCATCTTGATGTGTTTACGCCAGTTTTTGACGTCAAGGGTCAAAGTCTAAAAATATACATTTACTACCAAAGCTATTCACTAAAAATTTGCTTTACTTATACATTTTATACCCGTGATGCCATATCACAAGAACAAAAATAATCTAAAATCATATTTTGCAAAGCAAGCCCCTTATTTAACTTAAATTCTTTTGGACATTCTTTCTGTTAAGATTAATTTCTCAAAAAAAAAACACCTATAAAAACAGTTTAAACGTTCAAGATCTGTTCAATATACAAATTGGAAAGCATTTCTAAGGGATAGAAAACCTTGGAGGTAATTTGTGCTCAATTTTTATACTTTCGTGATTTTCTGAGAAAAAAAACTGAAAACATACATGTTCACTTCAAGCTTGAAAAACATGTCAACTGTCAAGGGACAATTATTGTGCAAAGTAATTTTTCAGAAAAATGGTTCTTTTTATATTTTGCTTTATCATTTTTATCAAGTATATGCACTGAGAAAAGTGTAGCGTTTCGCTCCTTGGGCAATTCTTGTTAACACGGCATCAATTTGGGTATAACTTTAGTTCATATCTAGAAAAAAACGTGCAAAAACGCGCACCAGTTTGTCAGTACGCTGCAGACTGACATAATAAGATTTCAAAAATGGACGCCACAGGATGATTACATTTACTATGACACCTGAACTATTAGGAACTGGAAATACAACTGAAGTTACTTTTGAGTGTAATTGCATTTTTTTTTCGGGTTATTTTGAAAAAGAAGAGCTATTTCTGTAAAAGCAGGGCAAAGTAAGGCTAAGATGATAAATAGGGAAAGTAGTGACTGACAGAAAGCCTGTGTTACACATCAAAAACGTTTAAGTGATTATATAGGTATTACAATTTTTACTGTGACTATTGGGAGAGGGCGTCGGCATCAACGTCGTCGTCGGCATCAGGTAACGCTTTTGTTAAAGTTTTACATGGAACTTCTTGTACAACATTATATCTCATTAAGCAGAAAAAGAAAGCTGTTTGTATCTTCACACACTTTTTGAGATCATACTTAGTGGTAACTATTTAAGGTCTATAACTATAGCACGGGTTTTAACTGAATTATGGTCTATTGGAACTTTTTTGGTGCAACATTAATCTTCAAAACTACTGAAGGTATTTACTTAAATCTAACAGATGTCTTCGTGATCTCTTTTCAAAGACAATATATCTTACATTGATTTTGATTGAATTATGGCCCTTGTTTTATCAACAGGCACAGAGATTAGTCGAGCGCGCGATTCTACTGAAGACTCTTGTTGTTGTCTACTGGCAAATTAAAAAAAATGGAAATGGTATTCTTATATAAAAGTGTCCATATTTTTTATTATTATGATTATCATTGTTATTTGTTGGGTTTTACTTACATTGCACCATCACAGTATATTAATATGGCGACTTTCAAGCTTAACTGGCGTTATTTCAGGCACGAACGGGCACCTGAGTACAACCACTGATGTTCCGTAATCTAGTTAGATATCTTCCTCACATGAAATAATTCCAAGTTCCTGTCGGGATTCGAACCCACAGCACTAAGGGGCAAATAGTTTGAAGTCAACAACCTTAACCACTCAGTTACGGTCTTGTCAAATTATATATGTGTCATTATGACTTCGACCTTTGACCTAATGACATCGAAATCAATAGGGGTAATCATATTGGCAATGAAAGAAATGTTTCTACCAAGGTTTACAAACTAAGTCTACTTACTGCTCAAGTTATGATCGGAAAAACATTCAATGCAACATTTAACCTTTGATCTAATAATCGAAAAAATAATAAAGATAAGTTACAAGCAGTGGAGGGGTATATATCTACCAAATGACTTTTACACACTCAAGAAATTAATCGGAAAATGAAAACTGTACGGACGTACGGAGAAGGTAAATACGGATGGATGGACAGATAAACAGATCTACGACATCCCATTACCGTATGCTCCCGCTTTTAAGAGGGGTTTAACATGCATGATTTAGAGCTAGATCTATCTTAATTCATTACAGTAGACATGCAACTTGTTGATAATATAAACTTATAAATGTATTCTCACGGCAGTTGTCAAACTCTGTTCGGCGCTACCACTACATGCCTTCTGTGTAATTCGACCTTGAAATATCGAATTGATAGAGTTGAAAAAACTCGACTTCCCGGCACCAACAGGACCAATAATTAAAATACGGGCATCTTTCACCTTTAGGTCAGGGATTGGTTTGAAGGAAACAATTTCTTCTGTTAGCTCGTTCAGAAACTGAAAATATTAAACACTATAATAGACTTGTTCTAAACGTAGGACATAAAACATAGATAGTAAAGTCATGTTTATATGAACGCATTTGTAGGCTCAGTTTAATGTATTTAATACAGCCCGAGAAACAAGTTGTTGCATCTAACATAAAGCACAAAATGAGAGCTTCCTTTGAGGTGGTTTATTAACATTTTTTGTTGTGGATGCGCATGATTAATCATTTCACAGTTTTATATTATGATGAACCATGATGATATGGTAGCATATTTTGGCACCAGAAGCTTGAGATATTTCATGTATTATTACCTCATGATAAATGTTGCATATCCAGGGACTTTTCCTGCCAAAAAGGGAAATCCTTATGGAGCAATGAAAACAACAAAATTAAACAGTTACAGGTAAAAAAGTTGATTGATAATAGTCAACAAATACAGAAAATGCTAAATATATGACTGTTTACGTTTGAAAAATAGAAAATGGACGCATTTATGTTGTTTTTGAAATGTCAATACAATATATTTTGTCAAATATTGTACAGTTACCTGTTCATTCCAGCTTTTAGTCATTCGCCATGGTTTCGTGTCCTCCTTCTTGACTTTGCTTGGTCTTGTCCCATCTTGATAAAATATAAAAATCAGCTGTTGTCAAATGAATGTCATTTGTTTAAACTTTATACATGTACTCACAATAGTCAATTTAATTATTAATTACTTTATTAATCAGCATTAGCACTTTTAAATCGCATTGTATAAATCGCTAAGGAAAATCATAAACAAAAACAATTTAAAATATGATATTAAGATTTTTTAACTGCACACATTCATCAGTTAAAACTTCCTCATTACATGATAAACCTCAAGTTAAATGTCATGCGTTTCAAAGCAAAGCAACATCCACATAACCAATTACAATAAACTGTAAAAATATTTTATTACATCATTTTTTGCGCAACCATCCTACGGTTCAAACGACTTGTATTGAGGCATTTGGTCTGAACGTTTGTTTAAATGAAGACTTTGATGATATGTCTGAATACCTCCATATATATCCTTTACACCTGCTAGGGCCATTAGGTAAATGTCCAATAAACTAATAAAATTAAGTGTGGATTTAACAGAACAGAACATTAGAGAAGTTTTATTTACGTGTACAACACATGTCTCTTGTTAAGCAACGTCAAATTAAACATATAATTTTCTTTATAAGCAAACACGTTTTCAATAGTCCACAGAGAATGAGCAATAACTAAACTTTAAACATAATGGTGTTTTGACAATATCAATATATGTGATTTATACATAAATCTAAATATTGCATGAGAAAGAACATTATTTCAACACAAACATATCAAGATAATACCCACTTTAGGAATATAAGGTTAAGATCATTGATCCATATGAGATTGCAAATCATATTGTTTATCGTATAATTAAAGCTGTTTGAAACACTTAGTTAACTTCTTGGCATAACTCATTTCTAATTTTAATGACTGAGTTTTTGCACTTGCACAGATTGACAAGAACGCAGTTATTGTTTGACTGTAACAATTCTAGAAATTTTACATACTTGTATAAACATAATAGTAACGTTTGATATATTTAGTTCGCATTTGTTTATGCATTTTACAAATAAGTACAAAATGAAATTCATCTTCAAGTTCGTTAGCACAGAAGTTCCTATCTCTCTAACATATCGCTTCCAAATTTGCAGATTCAATTCTTAAATTATGTGCAGATATACGCAATTTCATGAGATATATAATTGAAAATTGGTAATACAGCAAATTAATATGATTTCCCATACGAAAGCCTATTTTTAAAGAACAGCTTGAATCATAAAATGCTAAAATCTTGCCTTTTTACCCAACGGAATGAACTTTAATAGGTCTAATTCATCTTTTCACACCGATTTATGTATGATAATGAATGAAAAATGTAAAAATCGGTGAAAATAACGATATTTTGTGCAAGCGTCTAGAGATACTGCTCCAATCCTGTATTGAGCTAAATCCGAAAGTAAAACTCCCTCCCGATAAAGGTGAAGGATAGATGTTAACCAGCAGCAAAACTAAATACTTATTGAACAGAGTCTTTTCTAGATAGAGAACAGGTCAGGGTATCGCATTGTAACATGGCCAGCGATTGGCTGAAAAAAAGTGCAGGGAAAACCGTATGACTCAATTTATACATGAGGTGATTGGATGGAAGTGGGGTATTTTTAAGTAAAAAAACTAATTTAAAAAGTAACACTACACTGTTTTCTGAAGAAAATGAAATATTTCATGAGTCTCTGTGATAATTTTGACTTGGATTTTTGCATTCATAAAAAGTGTATGTCAGTCTTGTGATCAGCAGAAAATTTCAATGAAATGGGGGGGGGGGGGTAATCCTCTCTGATGTCATTTTGCAAAAAAATTGGTTGGCTACCCCTATATAACAAGAACATTTGCATGTGTCAGGCATTTCATTCTGCTAGAAAAATTAGCTCTTTAGCATGAAAACTCAATTTTAAGGTAGGATTAGGGACCATTTCTTATAATGTATGTCTATGGAGATATCAATGTGAGTGTCTGACCTAAAGAGAGGGAAATTGGAACTGTCATAATTCATTTGTAGTACTTTGTCTTCATTGATACACCATGAAAAGCTGATATTTTGGAAGAATGGATGTATACAGCCTGTCTAGGTATGAAATTTCATTATTTCAATGCAACTGTTGGTGTTTACAGCAGATAATGTGTCAAGGGGGTCAATCTACAAGCATTGTTTACATATGAAAAAGAGTATTAGTGTTCCTTAAAAGTTAATAATGGTTTGTATTTTCTTTAAACAGTGAATTTGAGTGATAATTAATTGGTAATATGTTGATGATGAATAATGTAGACCTTGGTCATTAAAAATATTTTTCAGATTTCAAAGAAATGCTGTACATTGGCTATACACATGCCAGGTTTGAAGACTTATGTATAACTTGACAGGACCTGATGTAAGCACATTGGCCACTTTTGATGGGTGTTGCAGGTATATCACTACAAATGCATATTGCCAGGTTCAAAACTAATATATTAATACTAGAAATAGTCTAGGGTGCTGTTTCGGTTTACTTTCAACTTTATTTAGGGGCGGACATTTCTTCGCTCGGCACTAATTTTTTTCCATTTTGCTCAAATATTTACATAGAATGTCACAAATAAATTGCTTTTATGTCTGTTTCCCATATAAGAATGTTTTGTGTTTCATTTACAGGCATAGATAGCATAAAAGCTTCAAATAAATAGCATTTTAAGTCTTCTGTCTTAAAATTTACTTGGTTTCATGGCATGAATATCAACACATACTTTGAAATTGAAATCCATTGAAAAATGTAGCTTAATTCAGTTAGGTAGCCTCTGAATAGCCTCTTATTATGTGGTTAAGATGCAAAATAGTGATAAAAATTTATTGTTTTCTATTTGGTAATACATATTTACACACTCACAATGTATAATGCCATAGTTTTTAGACTTAATATCTGTTTAATGCATAATTGAAATGAGCATCATAATGGCCAAGGGTAGAATTATTTTGTAGAAAAAGTTTTATTGATAAGTAAAAGTTGATCTACTTTTTCACAATCATATTAGGCAAAATTATAACACAGCTTTAGTGTCTCTGATGTGTCTATAAACAGAAAAAGCACTTATTCTGGTAGATAAATGTACACAAAGGGTGTGATTATGCACAACTTTAGTGAATTACCTCCCTTTATTTATTGAGAAACTTTGATAAGTGCATAAATTCTAGTGTCTGGCTACCTAAATGAGAAGAAAATACACAATACTATCCATTCCAAGTACATTTTGGTCTGAAGAGGTGATTTACATGGTAAAACACCTGAAAGAAGGTTTCAGTTGTCATATTTGGCTCCAAATGAATGCAAAAATGGCCAATAAATTGGGTGTAGAAGTCAAATTTTAGGCTATTACTGTGCTGTTAAGTCCAGAGGAACTAAGTTTTTCCATATATTGCATTGTTTATATCCATGTAAGAGAGAGACAAAATATATATAAAGAATTTTGGCATTTTATTGGCATTTAGGCTTGTATTTAAGACTATATAAGCAAATATTTGGAGTAGAAAAATACAGCAGGGGCAATTTTAAAATACCTAGTTACACCCAAAATGTTGCTATGTGTGTACAAATAACGTGTAATCCATAGTCAGGTCACTATACGGTAGTTATTAAGTATGTTTGCTAAGCTAAATCTTCATTCAGGAAGTCTATTGGTAATAAAATGTTGAAATTTGGGTGAAAAATCACTTATTTTGTTATGGGTGGGGTGATAAAATTGCTCCCTGCTACATCCTTTTGTTAGAAAATTAGTATTTTGAAGCACTTCTGTAATGAGAACAGTGTAGTGTTGCTATCTGAGTGATTTTATGGAAGTTGTTACAAAATTGGCTTCAGAATAATGAATTATGTATGAAAATCACATGCTAACATTCATTTTCAGAATATCCGGATTGCGGCATAACGGCGCTTGTTAGAAAAAAGGGAATTTCAAAGTTTTAAATGACTTAAGAGTGGTGAAAATGCATCCATATAATTGGTAATTGTATATGCAACTTCATTTATTATTAGATATTAGAATACTAAACATTTAATATTCCCTTTAGGTCAGGGTATCGCATTGTAACATGGCCAGCGATTGGCTGAAAAAAAGTGCAGGGAAAACCGTATGAGTCAATTTATACATGAGGTGATTGGATGGAAGTGGGGTATTTTTAAGTAAAAAAACTAATTTAAAAAGTAACACTACACTGTTTTCTGAAGAAAATGAAATATTTCATGAGTCTCTGTGATAATTTTGACTTGGATATTTGCATTCATAAAAAGTGTATGTCAGTCTTGTGATCAGCAGAAAATTTCAATGCAAAGGGGTTTGGGGTTAATTCTCCTTGAAGTCATTTTGCAAAAAATTTGGTTGGCTACCCCTATATAACAAGAACATTTTCATGTGTCAGGCATTTCATTCTGCTAGAAAAATTAGCTCTTTAGCATGAAAAGTCAATTTTAAGGTAGGATTAGGGACCATTTCTTATAATGTAAGTCTATGGAAATATCAATGTGAGTGTCTGACCAACAGTATCATTAAAAGTTATACATGAATAAACACAAATATCATACATATCAAGTACAAATGTTGCTGCAATGCAGCAATTGAGAAGCTCCGCGCAAAAAATGCGCTCATTACAGATACCTTACCAAATTATTCCTACGCACAGGTCATGTTATATTCAGATTAAGTACTATTGTAGATTTTTTCCGAATGTTTTGTAAACCATTTATTGCATAATTATACTTATCTTATGCACTGTCCATAATTTAAAAGAGGGGAAAGATATTTAATATAAAAAATGCTTTCACTGATGCCTACCTGGTAAGGAAAGTAATTCCATTGAATACAAACAAGACTTACAAGCCTTGTAAATGTTATGTGACATGACTGTACTGTGTTCTGTTTGTGTCACTACTGTAGTCAGTACCATAAGATGATAAAAATATCAAAGTCTGTTTTTTATTATTATAATTGTAACAAATTTACAAATAGTAACAAAAGGGACTAATATTATAATATAGTAATATTACATGCATTTTTTTCATGTCAAATTAAAAAAAATGGTTTCTTTCAATACTGAAAGTAGAACACACTCTGGAATGAAAAAATGGGATGAATTTCAAAAAGACCAAATTCAGGTTTTGTTTGTTTGTTATACACGCGTTACATGGTGATACAGTATTTATCAATATAAGACTGTTACCTGAATTTTAGGCAGGTATGAGGAAATTCACTAACAACATGTTCGTGCGAGTCAAAGATATAAAAGCTTTTTGACATTGGTGATATATTAAAAAAACTATTGTTAATTGATTTATAGGGAGATCAATATACTTTTTTGTTGAATTGCTTTAAAACCATTCATTAAAAACATTACACTTCATGTTCAAGCTGCAGATCAAAGTTTCTTTTATCAATGATGCTATCTATCTATAGCCTATGCTTCATGAGGATCCATCCGCTTGTAAGGCCACAAAATGCAGCTTTCGCTGTCGAGTACGGACCCCCGGACATGTCACCAGTCATACCCTTGAAGCACAAAGTGGTATGCAATACCAATGACGCCAATGAAATGTAACCTTATATACTAAAGTTTAATTATTTCAAAACAACCAATATATCAACATGTTATTATTAAACATTTAATTTCATAAATATAAATTAAGAATAATTATCAAAAGCAAAATTATTAAAGTCTTAAAATTATGCCTGAAATCTTTATTATATTGACAAATTAATCACTAATAGTATACTTGATATGCTGTGTGTAAATGTAATTCAAATTGTAACAAATTAAACTTTCATGTACTACTAAAAAAGGGAAATAACAGTTTGATAACCGAAGTGTCAAAAATCAGAACATTTATAGCTATTTATAGCTTTCGAATTCATGTACAGCAGAACTGCTTTCCGGTTCCCATTCATTAATATGACATGCTGCGAATCACCGAAGGGGAAACCAATATAGAAATTACAAACTCCTAATTAGGCTTTTTTATCTCCTACACGTAGGAGTTAATTTTTTTACAGAATTTTATGAATTTGCACCAGGACGCTTCCGTAAATATTACCATGCCAATCTTGTACATAATTATCAATAAGTCTTTGTTTAAATATTCTAGGAAATAATTTACCATCAACATTATCACTATATATAAAACAATCAGCAAAACCATATGTATACAATATTCGTTTAACACTTGAGACCCAGTTATTATATCCATGTTCACAATCGATAACACTTTGTTCATAAACTTTTTTCATAATTATATTATCAGTTTGGATTGTTTTACACCAAAACTTGATTACTTTAACAAAAAGATCAATATATAAAGGCCACCCTCCTTATTCACCATAAACCCTTGCATTACATGTACTTGTTCTGACATTTAGAACATTTTTGCAAAATTTAAGGTGAATACGTTCAATTTCTTTAGATACTTCAGCAGAGTAATTTAAGATAGAACCAACAAATGAATCGAACAGTTGGCATTTGAGTTTAGGTTTTATATCATATTTTTTACAATTATATAGTAAAACATTTAATACCTTAAGACCTTTGCCAATTAAGTGTTCCTGGTTTAAAGCAATGTTGCCCGTATAATTAAAAATAGTACCCAGGTAGTTAAAATTATCAACTGTTTCTAATTGTTGCCCATTGTAGTACCATTTTTCATTTGCACGTACTCTACCTCTTTTCCTAAAAACCATAACCTTAGTTTTTCACGTATTAAATACACAAGAATTTGTTTGTCTTTACCTGACATTATCAAATTTAGCTACATTTATGTTTGAGAAATTTGGTAATGGTTATCAATAGAATCCACAAAAAGAAAACCACAGTTTTAACCCATTACGTGATATACACGCCTTTTAACGCCTTTCCCCCCCCCCCCTTTTTTTTGTTGTCTCAAATGGTGAAAAATTGACTTATTTAGGCCCAAAATACTTGTTTTTGTTTGAGAAATGTTGTTAAAAAAGTGACCACTTTTTCGGCGTGGCCCCCAACCAAAAGAGACATCAGGGGGTTGCCAGAAGGGGGATGTGCTCCCTTCTGTTTGGGGGGTTTGAAGGGGGCGGCAGTCTCCCTCATCGCCAAGAAAATTTTGGACTTGTGAGAAGCTAAAAATGACCCCAGATCGATCATAAGGTAAAGTGTAACAAACGCTGAAAAGCATTTGACTCTATCTCAATCCATTGAGAAGTTGCAGCACTTTGAAATCAATTTCGATGGAAAAAATCAACGCTAAATAGTAATTTTTGGCAATTTTGAGATGTCCCCTCGTTGACATGGTAACAGATAACATGGTAACAGGTAACATGGTAACAGAAAATTTAAGCCTGAGCATGTTGTTGCAAAGGCAATGGTCCAGTCAACATTTGTGGCAAGTTTGATTAGTATTGAAGCAGTTCTTATAGTTTTATAGCAATTTGAACTTGTAACGGGAGACTTTTCAATGAAGACGGCCATTTCACGAAGTTATTGGTTAATTGTGACAAATGAGGGGAATAACTAATGAAATTTTAGATAACAAATATTTTAGCATTTACTTCCCTTCAATTATTCAAAATCAATAACAAGAAACATAATCCATATTAGTCGAGCAAAAAATTTACACAATATGCCAAGTTTTGTTTGTTTGTTTCCTTTTTTTAAGTACTATTTACATTACATTGTTCTAGCGCATTTTGATAAATAACTTTACTATCTGTATTCAATAGCTTAAACTAATACTTAATAAATAATGTGAACATATCGATTTATTTTCATCGAGTGGCATGAGAATAAATATTTCATGAGTAGCGGTAGCCACGAGTGAAATATGATAATGTTAATACCACAAGATGAAAATACATCCCGTACTAATAGAAACAACTTGAATTTTCTGTTTAACATATACATTTTTCTCTTTTTTGACATTACACTTTGAAAGTTTTCCCCTACATTTTTGTGTATTGGCTGAATTTTGAAGAAAGTAGTCCGCAAGACAGAAAAACCCTTGTGCATTGTTATATTAAATTTCAAGTTATTCACGACATCAGTAAAAAAACATTTTCTTCAGATATTTAAACATTAGTTATTTACATGTATGTATAAACTTGTAACTTACAGTCAACTTTGTAGACCTCTAGCTCCGTGACGTTCAAATTGCCATTATTGATATCGTTTGCAGTTAAACCCTTGTTGTCGTAAGTATTTCCAATGCTTAGGCCACCATTTAGAGCAAAGTAAGTGCCCGAGCTGTTCACTGTGATTGTAAAAGTGTTTAAGTCATGGCCATAACCAAATGTTGGACCGTAAGATGGATGAAAGTAGAGAGCATACTGATAATGTGATGATTTTATTGGAAATTTTGTAGTTTTCTCATTTCCACTAAATCGTAGCTGATACAGGAAAGCGGAAGTGTTGTTGATATACTGGTTAGTACTGTTCCAGCTGACGGGAGCATAACCACCATACACTGATCCTTGTTGATTATACAGCACTGTGACTGTAGGTCCCTGGTTGTCACATTTCTGGTGGAACGTTGTAGCATTACATCCATCTCTCGTAATTGCGTAGAGAAGTGTAAATGTTTTAGGACCTGTACCTATCCATTGTTCTAGCTGATCCATATCTTTGTCTGTTAACTTTCCTCCCATTTTGCAAGATCTATATAAACAAAACTATGGCTTAGCATAATCAAAATTCACATAGTTCCAGTGTTATCCCGTATACTATTTAGGTCTTGCATCATGAGGCATACAGGGTGTAAGAATTTACTAAAATTTGCTTAAAAATATCAAATCATCATAAACTGAAAAGGTTGGTGATCATTAGATCATTTATTTGGGCCTAAAAGAATTATTTTATTTAAGCAATATTGCACTTTGAAGAGCTAAAAATAGATTTGTTCCTACAGATAGAGTTTAATTTCTCATACGTTATTTTTATCAAACTTTACAAGTACATATTTATCATTTAAAGGGTACATATAGCTATAGGAAATGAAATTCTTTTACAAAAGCTGGAAAACGGTAAATTTATATTAGTTCCATATAATTGTACGGTTGATTATCGATATAGTTGTAGCATAGAATGTTTCAAATATTTAACAAACATAAATTCTGTACGTGAACAGAATGAAAATGTTCCGGACACAATATCAGGCTGCTGTTAAGTGTAGGAGTTTTACCTTTAATTAATAATTTTGTGCATTGGCAATTCCTCATAATGTTTATTATTTTTATATACATGTACATTAAAGCCAGATCGTACCAGAGACGCTGATAGGCGGCATCCAAACGCCGAGGTGCGGGCAGTATGGTTGCAAGCAACGAAGCAACATTACGAGGAGCAGTCAGAGGCCTTCATCACCCGGCCATTAAAACAATTTAACAATTTAGTTTATGCAGTCTTTTTTTAATTTCAAAATATATGCACGAAAGAAACGTGTCGGTAAAGTTCATTATCACTTATTTATAAAGACAAGCCGTTTTTTTTATGAAATACTGACATAAAAATGACATATATAATTTTGACAACACAAGCCAAATTTTTTAATGTAACTGGTCACCGCAACGTTAATTTTGATAGCCAATAAAACAGCCATGATTGTACTTAACCACGACTTTGGATCGGCAAAATTCAAAATTGTTGATTCGGCTGCTTCTACTTAATTGGCTCTCTTGCTTTTAAATCACAAGAACCTTGTTTCTTATATATTTTATTTTAGAGCGTCAGTACGCAGCATGTTATTATAGAACTAAGTATATTTTGATTGGGTTATAATTTAAAATATTATGGTGTAAAATTACTGCTTGCGATGTCTGGACAAGCAAGATGTTTTGACGTGTTACGCGGAAAAGTTGACTCACAAACATTATTATAGCACCTAAAAATACAATAATGCAACAAACATTATTAATAAATGTATACAATTCAGGTTTGTGGAGGTAAGCGTTGAAAAAGAGAACCCCCCCCCGCCCCCGGCCCCCGCTCATCAATTATCGTTTTCTACTTTCGTTTTAAAAGATTTTGGGTCCCTGATAATACTTTGCAGATTTTGTTTTTATCATATGGCTATGATTTTTCTTTCTCAATATATTCAGAACACTTTCAAAAGGTTTTTGAAGACTACGGAAGCGTCCTGGTGAAGTCCTACGTACGAGCTATAAACTCCTAATTAGGCTTTTTTATCTTCTACGTAGAATTTACCATTTTTATAAAACATGTTAAATGGCACCAGACGCTCCGTACCATATTGATGAATAACAGTGCTGTTTTTACATTGATTCATATAATTATGACTGATATGTTACAGTTGAGTTTATTGAACCTGTTATACATGTAAAACAGTGTAGTTTGGAATGAGACAGGATGTCACACATTCCCAGTAGCAAAAACAAAAACAAAAAACAACCATAGAACATAAAAACATTTAACCTGTATTTTTTCTATGGTTTTCATTTGAAACAAAGGGGAAAGGGCAAAAGAGGGAGAAATGCATTAAACATAGTAAAAATTTGCCGATTTCTGTTACAAAAAATATATCGTTGATTTATGTTACAAGAAATATGAAATTGTGATGAAAAACAGTTATAATAAATGAAACTCGTTAGTTACTGGCTTAGCGAAATATCGGAATGTTTCAGCAATAAAATCACCTCGGTCTAACGGCCTCGACATTTCTCGATGTCGCCCCTGCCAGTGTTATATCCTCGTAACTAACTCGTTTCATCTACTTTAACTATTAAGTAAATGTTTGTTTTATATACAGTTTTATCACATCAAAACAAAGAAACAAGATTTTAATGTATAAATAGAACATTAAGCCAATACCTCAACTAGTACATCCAATTTTGATGGCAAATTACAATACAAAATAAACTTTGCCCTGCAGATAATTATGTCACTGTATATAATATTAATATTCTGCGTCAAGATAAAACTAATCAATTGTAATCTTAAACCTATCGCATCTTATGCGATTGTAAAATAGAAGGAGTGTTTATGCAAATATGCATTTTAAACATTTAGCTATTTAAAATGATACAAATGAGACCCCTTTAGAAATCAAGTATGAAATTAATAATGTATGCCTATTGCAATGCTGTTGTGACTTGAGCACCCAATTCTGACTTAATTTTGATTTTTTTCGTCTCTGAATAAACATATACTTTCGCTTTTATCTGTAATGTGAAATACGTATACAAATTATCAAAAAATAGCAATTGCTGCAAAAATAACATCTATATGAACATGTTTAAAGTTATAAACCCTTGTGTATCAAGCCACCCTGTAAAATCTAGCAAAAGTAGAATTTAAGATGACTTAAGACGTAGACTAAACACTGTGCGGACTACTGCACTCGGATTACAATATATACTGAGCACATTAAGGAGTTGTGGAATTTTGTACTTCAAAGATTTCAGCTGCTCACTTGCACAAACTTTACAGTCATATTGTGTTAATTTCACCCAAATATAGCAGGCAAGGATCTTAAATGTCAAACAAATGTATTAAATTTTATTTCGGCAAGGTACTTACGAATGTTACAAATGTAACACAATCCCTACAGTGCGGTTGACCCTTATATATTTTGAATTGTGTTTGTAAATCTTGCTGAGCGCAGTAGGCCTACATTTTTAGAACGTATTGACAATATGTACGGGACAAATTAGCGTCTGTGACATTTACCAATGGAAAATGTACTGGTCAAAATGAACTTCTGATTAATTGTGACCCACCCACACGTAACTGAAAACAGTAGGCTAGCACAGAGTGTAGATCAAAGAGATAAAAGGTGTTCAGAAAAACTTGCGTTTATATTTACGTTACTAATGTATGCATTTTAGCTCGACTTTTTAATTTTCTTCATACTTGGCCGCAACAGCCCTTGGGACAAGACCTTCAAGTACACCAGCCTTTACTTGAACTTTATTCATTACTGACATTGACCTTTAAGGTCAAACGTTTTAATATTACTGATTTTTGATATAAGTGGCTATAAATTTGTAATTTTATAATTGATTATTTTTCAAGGTAACCAGACAGACCTTGACCTACACAAATTAGATTGACCTTGAAGGTCGAATTATTTAACTTTTTTTATTATTAAACGAATTGGTTTCATATTTAGATACAACATCCTTTAGGATGCGAAATCCAAGTACACTAAACTAAAATTGACATCGACAAGTTTATAAATTTAATTTTGAAGGTTTATCAATGAATTTTCACTGATGACTGTATCTTTGTAATTAATGAATGTATTATATTTATACTTGGACAAAACAACTTTTTTGACAAGCTAATCTAAAACGTTGAACTGACATTGGTCTTGAACTTTAAATGATTTTGCTCTAATTGTCATAGTTCTGTTATGTCTGTACCGATTCAATTTATACCTGGAATGACCAAACAAGCATATTAAATAATTTTAGATGTGGCCTTACCTTTAACTGACCTTAACCGTCAATGTCAAATTAATGGAATTCTCTTGATATTTTTGTTTGTTTTTTGGTTGTTGTTATTTTTGTTTGGGGCAGTTTCCCTATAGTTGTATGGAGGGCGTTCGTTGCCAAAATTCCAGACATGTAAAGTGTTCCTTTTTAAAATGACTTTTGAAAATGCGAACTTGTATGCCTACCATTTTTATTGTATGCCTCTTAATTCAATCTTTTATTGAAGGTTACCGCCTTTATATAACAAGTTTACATATATATCGTAACAACTGACCTAACATCTAAAACGACAGCAAATTTACAAGTTCGTATCTTCCATTGCATGCAATACATACGCATGTTTGCACACTTATAGATCTGTAATATACAAATGAAATGTAAAACTCGAATACGGAAAATAGAGTTTAAGAAAACGTGTTACCAGTTGTAGAACTACAAGAGTACGTTAACACAGTAACATGTTTAAAATGACAAAAGTAGATTCACAAAGTTAAACAATTTTAAGTCAAGCAGAACGCCCCGCCCCTCTCGGAGTATTTACGACCTTCTATTGCGGACAGGTATAAAACGGCGCCTCTCCCATATTTTTAAATAAAACTGAAGGACAGCATACGGCATTTTTCATAACATATATATGTTGCATTTGTTATAAAAGTTTTGTCACTTGCAACATCACTTGAAAATTGCTGATTTTACCATTTATGATGAAGATAACTTGTGCATTACCTTATTATTTAACATCGTGTTCTTATCAGTTACAAATTATTTATCATTTTAGTGATTAGCCTGTCCGTGCTATGCCTAGTGCCCTGGCCATGTGTTTTGTTTGGGGACCGCCTGGGCTTCTTGCCACTTGTTCTTGTTGCTGGGTCATGTAGGGTTGCGTTCATTGAGCGCCGCCTTTCCTTGTTGATCTTGTTTATCATATATTCCTGAGAAACATCGGCGATTTGGAAATTTTTAGGGGAAACAATGACCAACTTCAAGGGAGTAATTTTATTGATAATGTAAAAACATCCAATACTCTTATTGGTATCATTGAAAAATGTATTGGCACAAATTTCACTTTCAACAAAAACTATGCAAGTATTTGCAAAAATAGGATTTTAAAGCGGCCACCGAGATTTCCTTTCCGAAATCAAGAAAATACTTATCCGTAGCACATATGTACAATCTTTAATACGGTATTTTCAGTATGAATAAAATCTT